GGGGTCGCTGATTATAAATATGACCTTAGTTTTTAAAATTCAAAATGTCGGATCCAACATGGCCGACATTTTGTTGAAAAATTCATCGAATTCGTTTGAAACTTGTTACTCTGGGGTTTTCGGGGTCGCTGAATACAAAAATGACCTTAGTTTTAAAAAATTCAAAATGTCAGATCCAATTTAATCGGTATTCCAATTTAATATTTTTTATAAGAAATAAAAAGCTGTTTGTACTTTGGCCTTTCTAGTAGCTGAAGCAAATTCTAGTAGCGTTTGAGTATCGTAATATTTTAACCGTTTTATTTGGTTCAATTATAAATCCGTGACAGGATCAGAGATAAAAACCAATTGTGATATGGAGTAGTTTTTTTTGTTCTGGTTCTGTCAAAGAATTGTGTTCGTTCTTGACTTTCATGCCATGTTATGGCCTACACAATGATCAAAAGATCTGGCCCCGATTTGGGTCATGGTTAAATTTCTACACGGGCAAGGACTGAATCCCTTATAGCGAAACTCTGGTGTCCGTCCGCAGTTTTCCCTAACAACCGTTGCCATGGAAACCGTTACTATGGTACTGGTTGTTATGGTAATGGTTGCTATGGTAATGGTTGCTTTGTTTACAGTTGCTATGGCAATGATTGTCATAGCAACGCTTGTTATTGAAATCATTATGTGGAGCTCCTGATTGATTTTATGATTTTTTCTTTGTCTTTTAGACCACGAAACCCCAAAGAGGTAGGCGCAATGCGCCTGCTTCTCTCACTGATTTTTTATCAGGCTTCGTTACATCAATGTACAACCAATTGTAACATGCGATAGTGTTTTTGCTATGGTTCTGTCAAATATTTTTGTTTGTTAGATATGATATTTTTTTTTGATTGCCTTTAGCACGTATTTATAATTGAATTAAATAAAACGGTTAAAATATTACGATACTTAAACGCTACTAGAATTTGCTTCAGCTACTAGAAAGAACAAAACTTTAACTCTCTACAAATAGCTTTTTATTGCTTCTAAAAAAATATTAAATTCGAATGTCGGCCATGTTGGATCCGTCATTTTGAATTTTTAAGAACTAAGGTCATATTCGTAATCAGCGACTCCGAAAATCCCTGAGTAACAAGTTTCAAGCGAAATCGATGAATTTTTTAACAAAATGTCGGCCATGTTGGATCCGCCATTTTGAATTTTTTAACTCTGATGGCATATTCGTAATCAGCGACCCTGAAAACCCCCGAGTAACAAGTTTTGAGCGAATACGATGAATTTAAAGAAAAATGTCGGCCATGTTGGATACGCCATTTTGAATTTTCGAAATCCGATGTCATATTCGTAATCAGCGACCCCGAAAACCCCCGAGTAACAAGTTTTGAGCGATTTTAATGAGTTTTAAAAATTGTCCACCATTTTGGTTCCGCCATTTTGAATTTTCAGACTCTAATCAAAATCTGAGTTAAGAATTGTATTAAGCGACCCCAAAAACGTTTAAAAAAGTTTCGTTCAATTTTTTTTCTTGAATTTTGCAATTTCTATTAACGATATTATTTGTCGGTTTGTGATTTTGTTGACCTTCTTCGCTTGTAATTAGGCCGCCATTTTGGATTTTCAAAAACGCCCACCTGTTATTGAAAGTACACGAGTGTAAGAATTTTTTAAGCCCTTAAACGTTTTTTTTCATTGCGCCAATTTTTGGCCACAGCTCTGTTTCTGTTGACGTGGAACGTCCCCTATATAAAAGTGTGTAACTATTGTAAGCTTTCAGTATAAAATCTGATAGCAAGATGAGTGATTCATTTACTTTAACGTTAACGGGAAATTCTTCAGTTCTTGAAGCTGAATATTTCCCTCCAATAGAACAAAATTCTAATAAAATTTATGTACTTGGTCTTGTTGAATTGTTGACTTTTAATTCAATTCCTAATATCGATAGAGGAAATAATAAGGTTTACATTGGAAATCAAATAATTCATATTGCAACTGGAAGTTATGAAATTAAAGACATTGAATCTTATATACAAAATTTTGTAGAAATCGGAACTGTCATTAGTATAAAACCGAATAATAATACATTGCGCAGTGTAGTTAAATCAAATTTGCCAATTGATTTTAAACCTATTGACTCGATTGGTAAATTGTTGGGATTTACATCGCAGCATCTAGCACCTCATAGAGCATCTTTGTAATGGGAATTGTTTATAATCAAAGAGCTGTTGTTGGTGGAAACTATAAAAGTCAACCAACATGCAAGAGTCAAATCAGTCTAAAGTCATCTTACAAGGTGTTAACACCACAGAATCGTATCTTTTTTCAAGAACTAGGTCTGAAAGTTCAAGGAAAGAAAAAACGAAAACAAGACAATTAATCTACATATTTTGTGGGCGCTGTTGCAACAAAAATGGACGAACTTCTCAATATTCCAGCAGCAGTGAATTTTGATGAGTCTATAGCTCATTATGAAATTCATACTCATCAACCGTATGCTTCTTCATCTTTTAACAATAGTGATGAAATTCGAATCGCAGTACAACATCAAGACTTGTGCATTTTGCCTAGTAAAAGTTCATTACATATTTTTGGCAGATTAGCTAAAAATGATGGAAATACTCTTACGGAAAACGTGCATTTAAGTAATAATGCTGTATGTTTTTTGTTTGATGAAATTCGCTATGAACTAAATGGAATTGAAATAGATCGATGCAAAACGTTGGACATACTACAATTATGAAAAATTATGTCTCGCAAAACTCCTACACAGTTAAATTTTATTGAAAATGCTGGGTATTCAAGAATGGCAGCTGATGCAAGACTTGTATTGGAAAATGGCTATTTTAATGTCACTATACCACTCAGCATGATTTTTGGTTTTGCCGAAGATTATAAAAAAATCATTATGAACGCTAAACATGAACTTATTTTAACAAGAGCACGTTCTGACGTGAATGCCGTAATTCAAACAGGACAAGGAGGTGATGAAGAATTTAAAATTTTCATCAATAAACTTGAATGGATGGTTCCATACGTTCTACCTGCAGATAATAATAAAATAAAACTATTAAAATTTATTGAAAAAGATCCATTAATTTCAATAAGCTTCAGATCTTGGGAAATGTATGAATATCCTCTAATTCCTACAAGTTCAAAAGTTTTGTGGCAAATTAAAACATCAACGCAATTAGAGAAACCACGCTATGTTATTGTTGGATTTCAAGCAGCGAGAAAAGATAAACGTAAAAAAATATGCTTGTCATTTTGATCATTGTAATATTACAAACGTTAAACTCTTTTTAAATTCACAATGAGTTTCTAAAACAAGCATCAGTTGATGTACGTTTAGAATTTGAAGCAGGAATCAACATGCCGGCTGAAACCACTGCCTACTGCTTAATCATACCGCTATATAAGTGCTGCTGTAAAAGGAATTGATGAAGTTGATTCCACATTTACTACTTTACAATCATTCTATGAAAATTGTGAAACTTTTTTGTAAAACAAGAATTGAATAACTTAAAAATAAACATGAACAATTTGAAATAATACAACTGTCTCTCTCATTATTTTAAAAACCTTTTCCTTGAGTTTTTTTTTAAATTTTTACTATTTCTGAAAATAAAACTTAAAACTAATACCTGAAAATTAACATGAATAAGGAAGAAAATAATATTAAAACCAATTTATAGATAAATATATATTTTTATTATTACACAGGCACACAAAAAAATAAAAAAGTCAAAACCCAGAGGTTACACCCCCCTATCCCCATGTCTTTGGGGTCGCTAAAACTGAATATTACCATTAAAAATTTTTTTCATCGGCCATTTTCCCGCTACCACCCCCTTACACCTGCTCCCGGGGGTTGGAATTTCAGTTTTAAAAAAAGTGGAGTAGGGTGTCTATTCTTATGTTTTTTGGGTCGCTTAAACCAAAAAAGACTACCAAAAACAAATTCTTCCCTCCCTTGACCCCCTACAACTCCCTTAACAACCCTGGGGTGAGGGGTCGAAATTTGAATTTTCACGAAAAGTCGATTACGGTGTCTAAACCTACGTTTTTTGGGTCGCTGAAACCAAAAAAGACTACCAAAATCAAATCCTTTCCACCTCCGACTCCCTACAACCCCCTGCAATAATTTTTTTCAAATAAAACGAACCGATTTTTGGAAAATTGAAAATTAAATATTAATTATCAAAAATTATTGCAGGGGGTTGTAGGGGGTCGAGGGTGGAAAGGATTTGATTTTGGTAGTCTTTTTTAGTTTCAGCGACCCAAAAAACGTAGGTTTAGACACCGTAATCGACTTTTCGTGAAAATTCGAATTTCGACCCCCCACCTTTCGGGTGTTAAGGGAATTGTAAGGGATTAAGGGAGGAAAGAATTTGTTTTTGGTAGTCTTTTTTGGTTTTAGCGACCCAAAAAACATAGGAATAGACACCCTACTCCACTTCTTTTTAAACTGAAATTTCAACCCCCGGGAGCAGGTGTAAGGGGGTGGTAGCGGGAAAATGGCCGATGAGAAAAAATTTTCATGGTCATATTCGGTTTCAGCGACCCCAAAAACATGGAGATAGGGGGGTGTGACCTCTGGTTTTTGACTTTTTTATTTTTTTGTGTGCCTGTGTTATTAATGTGAAAATTTTATATTTTATAAACATCAATATTTAAAAAAAATCCATTATAATTTAATTAAATTTAAATTCCAAAGCGTTGTACGTTCCACCCAAGTACTTCATGTACAACTTGTTTGAACTAGCAGCTTCTCGCATCATCTCCAGGGTATTTGGCTCTTCATCAAACAATTTTACAAACCTTGCAGGTAAAAAAGTGATAAACTCATTATCCACTTCTGTCATAATCCTGGATCCAAATCGTGTCTGCACTTTTGTAAGTTTGTTGATCATGTAGCGACCCTTTGGAACCAATTCGGAAAGAGGCTTTGTTGGAAGGGTAGCTTCCATGCGTCCAACAGCATTAACTTTTTCTAAATCCATTTTTTTTCTTGTGGTTTACGTAGACAAATCTAAAACAAAAAAGACAGAGAAAATACACATTAAAAAAGATTATTTATAATATAATTTAATTCTAAAATAATATCTGGAAAATCACCTGAAAATAAGCTTGAAGAAATGCCGTAAAAGAGATGAAAAACAAAAAAAAAATGGCTAAGATATATTAAGAAAAAGCTGCAAAGAGTCTAAAAAGACACCTGAAAATAATCTTTAAAAAATAAACAAAACACAAAGAAAAAAAATTGGTCAAGATTTTTGAAAAAAAAGATGCAAAGAGTCTATAAAATATCCTGAAAATAATAAACTGAAGGAAACCTAGAATAATATCTGAAAAACCTGGAAATAAGTTTTAAAAAAAAAATACTGAAAAATATTAGAAAAAAAATTTTTTTTTTAAATGAAAATACAATCTGTAAGGAAACCTGTAAAAAATCCTAAAAGAAAGCCTGTAAAAATAAAACCTGAAAGGAAATTTGTAAAAAAAAACGAAAAAAAAAATGTTGAAGAATAAAATCCTAAAAAAGCCTGTAAAAATATAACCTGAAAGAAAATTTGTAAAAATAAAACAAAAAAAAATGTTGAAGAATAAAATCCTAAAAAAAAGCCTGTAAAAATATAAGCTGAAAGGAAATTTGTAAAAAAAAAATGAAGTAATAGACAAACTTGTACTTACTGCTGCTCAGGGATCTGGAAGAAATAATGACTGGTCGCTGTGAAACCGCTTTATATAACAACAGTCCCCCACTTTTCTATTTTTCCCCACTACTAATAAAATGTGCACGCAGTTGTCAACTCCCTAACATGCGCGCGCAATTTTTCTTATAGTATATTAAGAAGTCTCTCTGAATCAAGACACTCACCCACTATTATATAAAAACAATTTTTTATAAAAAGTTGTCTTTTATTATACCATGTAATTGATACATTTTATTTTTTACAGTCTCCTCCTTCTGATGATGATTCGAGGAGCGTATGCAATAACTCTAACGCCTAAAAAATAAAAAAAATTATTATTATTATTATTATTATTATTATTATTATAAAATCAATTACATGTGTAACGACAATGATTGGACTGACAATAAGATCATCATCATCATTTTCATCATCGTTGTCATCGATGGTTGAACCTTGACTATGATATTCATCATCATCTTCACTATCAAATTCATCATCATCTTCACTATCGAATTCATCGTCGCTATCAAAAATTAAAATTAAAATTCTCTCCGCTCCATCGTTGCTATCATCATCATCAAAATGTGTGTAGGAATTTGTCTTTTCAATTTTTTTTTCTGTTATCTGCAAAAATAAGAAGAACCTGTAAATTTAATATATTTACAAAAGGTTAATGTTAATAAAAAATATTAAATTAAATAATAAAATAAAGTGGTCTGCAAATAAAGAGTAAACTTTAAGTTTAAGAAAAAGAAAAAAAAAGCTGAGAACACACGAATTTGAAAAAAAGCTATTAATCACACTAAAAAAATAATTTTGGGAACAAGGGTTAAAGAACCTTATAAGAAAAGCGGAAATTGATTGAGAAAAACTAAAATAAAGTGGACTGAAAATAAAGAGGAAACTTTAAATTTAAAAAAAAGAAGAAAGAAAAGCTAAGAACACACGAATTTGAAAAAAAACTATAAATCACGTTAAAAAATAATTTTGGGAACAAGGTTTAAAGAACCTTATAAGAAAAGCGGAAATTGATTGAGAATAACTAAAATAAATAAAAATAATAATAAAGTGGACTGAAAATAAAGAGGAAACTTTAAATTTAAGAAAAAGAAGAAAGAAAAGCTGAGAACACACGAATTTGAAAAAAAGCTATAAATCACGTTAAAAAATAATTTTGGCAACAAGGTTTAAAGAACCTTATAAGAAAAGCGGAAATTGATTGAGAATAACTAAAATAAAGTGGACTGAAAGTAAAGAGACAACTTTAAATTTAAGAAAAAGAAGAAAGAAAAGCTGAGAACTATTCTTTTAAAAACTTGAAAGAAATTTCTAGAAATGTTGTAATCTGGAAAAGAAAAATTAAAAAATAGGAAAAGAAAAAAAAACTAAATAAAGAACCTGAATGAAATTTCTAAAAAATGTTGAAATCAGGTAATAAAGAAAATTAAAAAGATGAAATAAAAAAATCATTAAATTTTTTTTTTAAAAACGTAATCTGGAAATAAACAAAATTAAAAAAAGAGTAACTGAAATTTTTTTTTTAAATCCTGAAAGAAATTTCTAAAATCGCTGAAGTCTGGTAATAAAGAGAAATTATAAATAAGAAAATGAAAAAAAAATTTTTAAAAATGTTGAAATCTGGTAATAAAGAAAATTAAAAAGATGAAATAAAAAATTATTAAATTTTTTTTTAAAAACGTAATCTGGAAATAAACAAAATTAAAAAAGAGTAACTCAATTTTTTTTAAATCCTGAAAGAAATTTCTAAAATCGCTGTAATCTGGAAATAAAGAGAAATTAAAAAAAATAAAAAAATCCTAAAAACGTTGTAATCTGGAAATAAAAAAAAAATAAAAATGAAAAAAAATCCTTAAAATTTTTTTTAAAACGTAATCTGGAAATAAACAAAATTAAAAAAGAGTAACTGAATTTTTTTTTTAAATCCTGAAAGAAATTTCTAAAATTGCTGTAATCTGGAAATAAAGAAAAACAACAGAATTTTGCAGAGGAATCTATACTTACTTACTTACTTTAATGATTCCTTTAAGAAATAGTAGAAATGAGCTATACTTCTATGTGCACCGACTGCTATAATCCAGTTCCTACTCTCTCTCTTACCCCTTCCTAATTACAACATAAACAAATTTGACTGGTAGGATATGCACATTTAATAAAAAATATTGAAAATAAAATGAGATATTATTATTATTATTTAGGTAATAATATTATGTCAATATTTTTTTATCACCACACTGCGGACTCGGCGCTTTGTGAGTGATAGGGACCTCTTTCGGTTGTTGTTACGACGATGACACAAACATCTACATGTTGTTTTCTTTTTTGATGATTTGGATGAGGTTTGTGATGACTCAGACGAGAATGATGATGATTCAGATGATGATAGTGATTCGGATGAGTCGGATAATGATTCGGATGATAATTCGGATGAGTCTGATGATGATTCGGATGATACGATCATCTTACATGAGAATGATGGGTCATTCTCATTATTATATTCTTCTGAAACATCTTCCAGTATATCTGTCATCTATAGAAAAAAACATTTCGAAAAATAAATGTTATTTTTTCTTAATGCTCTTTAAATTAAATTAAATAAAATAATTTTTACTTTGATTTATCAAATATTTTTAATTTAAATTACTTGAAAATTATGATTTTACTTACCTCACTGTCACTTATATTTATGACAAGAACATCTTCATCAGCACTACTGCTGTCTAAAATGACAGTGGATGATTCCCTGTCATAAATGGTTATGGTGTATTCCACGTCAGTTCAACACAAAAAATTTTATTAGGTTTTGGGATTCGGTTGAAATTGGGTAGATTATAATTATCCTCTGGTGGTAATAAATAAAATCCCCAAGCGATTTTAAAAAATTTCAAAAATTGGCGGACATATTGGATTTTTAATTTTTTTGTACTTTTTTTTTGAAAAATATATATCTGTGCTTGTTCTTAACGGATTTTAGTTTATGACCTCTTAAATTGTTCGTATTAAAATATACTTTTATTTAAAAAATTAAAATTAAAAAAATTATTTAAATTTTTTGTTTAAAAAATTAATTTAATTTTTTGAAAAGCCATAGAAAAAATATGCTACCTTCAATTTTGATCATTTTTTTACCATTTGTAGACATAAATGTGTTGAACTTGTCCTGAAATTTTCATCGTGGGACAGCCAGTAGTTTTTGAGAAAAAAAATAAAACGTAAATCCTTGCATAGCGCTGTAGCGCTCAGTTTTAATGCCGCACGATTGTAAATGGAATTTTAATGAAAGTACGAGTTTTGATTAACCCTAGAACTAAAATATGATTTTTTTATAGACTAACGAAAAACTGGGGTGGTTTGGTACCCCAGATTTGAAACAATTGTAAAAGGTTACCTTTTTTGTAATTTTTTTAATTTGTCAACAATGTGGTTAATTTGAAAAAATTAAACGGATTTTCAAAGGTAAATAGAGACAATTTTATTTTGATTAAGGCAACTTTAAAATTCAAATATTATTTACAATATATACAAATGTTAAATGATTTTAAAATAGAATAAAAATCATTTATTACAAAGGAGGTTTCTATTTTTTACGGGGGAGTTTCCGAGGTCTTACAGTTTTTCTTTATTTACCTTTTAAAATCCGTTTAATTTTTTCAAATTAGCCACATTGTTGACAAATTAAAAAAATTACAAAAAATGTAACCTTTTACAATTGTTTCAAATCTGGGGTACCAAACCATCCCAGTTTTTCGTTAGTCTATAAAAAAATCATATTTTAGTTCTAGGGTTGTAAAGTGTGTATTCGTCGTGTTAGCAAGGAACGATATGTAAAGGTGTGTGAGTGATGAGAAATGGAAGGGCGACAATTCAAGAAACGAAAAGGAGTTTAGAATGATTAGGCAGTGTGGTCAGAGCACCCGTGCGAAAGGTCGTTGAGACGACGGACTCCCGAAAGAGGGGTGTCAGAATTATAGCTTTGCGGAGGCAATAGCAAATTTAGTGCCAGCCCGATAGGGCGGTTGGTGAACGACCCTTATCACCGGCATTTTTGTTTCCGCGCCGGCTGGGCGTCAGGCGATTTTGGCGACACCGAAATACAACATAATTTTGTTTTATACAATTTGACGACGTCCTGAAGAATTGGAATTCCATACATTACCCGGAGGAGAAACTGGGAAACCGGATTGATTCTTAGAGGACTGCAAAACTCGACTTGATAATTGAATTATCATTATACTACGAGGTAAACCCTCTATTTTATTATTTGTAAAAAATAGTCGCATCCAGCCGGATAGCTACTAACTTCGAACGATTGGTATTTATATATACAATTAAATTAATTTATCTGACCACATTTCTTTATTCGAAATTATCAAATCATTCAATCGAAAATTCATATATTATTTGTACTCTATTTTTCTTTATTTCACAACGATTGTCGAAGTGATCATCACGAAATCTTGTTTGTATTATATAAAATAATTTCCTTTTTTTTTATCGATCAAATTCCATGGTAGCATTTCTCAGCGTGTGTCCTTTCTGAGTGTGAATGAGATTGATTTAAACTAACGATAAATTTTACATATTGATTGTTATTATTAAATTGGCCAATTTTCAAATTCAAAGTTTTTTTTTGTAAATTTGTGCTAAATGCATAAAAGGAAATAATTTATGTAAATAAAATGCTCACGGTTTAATTGTTAAGGATTTTAATAAAGAAATACTAAAAAATAAACTAAACTGTTACAATTGGCGCCCAACTAGAGGCCTTCGAAAGTTGATCGTGATTAGAAGTTTGAATGAATTTAAAATAATTTGTGAATTTTCTAATATTAAATTTTATTTTCATGAAATGATGACTCGAGGGAATAAGAAAGACGACGAAACAATCGACCCACAGCAGTTGTTGACAAAGCAGCAGGCACAAATAAACGAGTTGAAGGACGAATTAAAGAGGATACATGATTGCCGGACAATTGCTGATAAAGAAAATGACACACTGCGGCTCGAAATTTGTCGACTGAAAACAGAGCTCGAGAAACAAATTAATAATAAGGTCATCCAAAAGAAAAATAAGGAGACGACAATGGATGGAGCTGGTATAAAAGAAGGTAGTATGAGTCACGTAGAGGGGAATATAACTCATTCTCCGGGTAAAAATCCGAGACATGAAAGAGATTCTTTTAAAGATAAAAATTTGAGTAATTTTGACGAAGGGACTACAAATAAAAACGTTAATAATTTATCCGGATATATAGAATTAGGTAACGATGACGACGTGTTCAATAATAGTCAAACGGGTAACGGAAATGAATTAATAAAGGGCATCTTAAACTATTTTCAATCATTACAAATCACCGTAACTTTACCAAAATTCGACGGAGGCAAGAAAAACCCAGTAGAATTTATTAAAGAAATTGAAAAATATTTTATTAAAAAGAATATTACCGAAGATGTAAAAATGTTAGTGATAGAGGACGCGGTAGTCGGAAGAGCCAAAATGTGGTACGATGCACGCGCATTTCCATTTATAAATTATAAACACTTTAAAGAAAAATTTTTAGAAGAGTTTTATTCTTTAGAAGCACGTATGACAGCTAAAACAGAATGGGAAAATAGAAGATGTCCATCGAAGGACCGATCTTTGCAAGCGTATTATATCGAGCAATTACACGGGGCAAAATATTGTTTGACGTCATTGAAAGAATACGAAATAAATTATTTAATCATAAGACAATTACCGCAAAGAGCGCGTGAAGTTCTCGTTACAGTAGATTATATGGATACAGCGAAAATATTAAAAGCATTAGCACGTTTAGACGGTACGCGCGAAGAAACAAAGGAGGGGACATCATCGGGAAATAACGAGCGAACGAACCCTTCAAATGCATATAATCAGAAAACAGGGTATAAATCGGGAAAACCGCCGAGTATACAAAATGAAAGTAACAACGAACAACGCGGTCCACCAAATAATCGGGTAAATTGGCAACGCAACGACGGAGAACAAAATCAAAATTGGAGACAAAGTTCGGTACCGGTCGCGCGCCCAAATCAAGGTCCAAATAGCGAAAATTATTCACAAAGAAATAAATTGTCAAATGATACGGAGAATAGATCGGAAAGAAACGCGACACTATCGAATGTGAGGGCCATTCAAAAAACTAACATGTCCGAATTCGAAGAAGAGTTATGTTGGGACATTGAACCGGAAAGTGAAGCCAAATTATCTGATCTCGAAATGAAAATCGTTAGTCCGAGAATCCGAGGAAACATAGGGGAACAAGAGGTTGCTATTCTTGTAGATTGCGGTAGCGAAGTAACGGCTATATCGGAAACATTTTTTGATCAAATTAAAGGAAACATAAAAATTGTGGAATTGCCTGTACAGAATTTGACAGTCAACGTGGCTGTGGGTAATAAGGCCACCGTAATTAAGCGACAAGTTCAATTAGACTTAAAAATCGGAGAGGAAATATACGAGTCACCTTTTTTGGTAGTTCCGGGGTTGGCGACTAATGTACTGGTAGGCGTTGACTGGTTGGCGCGCTTCAAATGTGTTATCGATGTGGGTAGACAAAAAATTAGTCTCAGGGATGTTGAATTAGCAGAGGCACTAACTACATTCCGTATGGCACGCGAAATAAGAGCAGCTTGTAGAATAATTCACTCAAGTGGATTTTTATGGTATGAGACAGAGGAAGCGAAGTGTAGAATCGGGAACGGAATCACAAAAATCGAAGAAAAAAAAGATTTAAAAGAAACGGAGATAATGGTACAGGGGGATGAAAAGAGCGTGCGACAAATGAGTGTAGAGAGTCTATGCTTCGAAGAACAGGTCGAAAAATATTTAGAGGAAATTGAATCGCTAAAGGAAGTAGAAAAGGAAAAAGTCCGAGAATTATTATTTAAATATAGAGAAGTTTTTTCTGATCAACCCGGGTGCACAAATGTATATGAACACAAAATTGTTATAAAAAATAAAAAGACAATTGTACGTAAGTCCTATCCGATCGCGTTGAGTAAAAAACCGTTAGTAAAAGATCAAATGCAAGATATGTTAGAAAAAAATATTATCGAGTTTTCAGATAGCGATCATTGTAATCCTCTACATGCAGTACCCCAGAAAAACGGGAAGGTACGGTTATGTTTGGACGCACGCTTCATAAATGCATGCATTCTTTCCGATAACGAGTCACCACCTCGAATTGACGATCTGCTCCAAAAATTCGAGGGGGCAAAATTCTTCTCAAGCACCGATTTAGTTCGCGGATACTGGCAAATTCCCCTGGAAAGAAATTCACGAAAATATACGGCGTTCCTTCATGAAGGACACCTCTATCAATTTACCCGGGTACCGTTCGGGTTAAAAACGGCAGGAAGCGGGTTCATTCGGGCGCTTCACTTAGCATTGGGTCACGAATTAGAGGAGTTTGTATCTTGTTATATAGATGACCTGGTTGTAGCGTCGAGAACATTCGACGAGCACTTGGATCATCTGAGTCGGTTATTCGAAAAATTGATTATCGCGGGGTTCACACTTAGCTTGGAAAAGTCAAATTTTTTTAAAAGAGAAGTTTCATTCTTGGGATTTAAAATTTCGGCGGAAGGGGTAAAGGGAGAAGAAAAAAAATTCGCGGAAATTGAGGAATTTCCATGTCCCAAAGATAAAAAACAATTACAGGCTTTTCTGGGGATGTGCGGATACTACCGTCGTTTCAGTATCAGACATTCGGATTTTGTGGGTCCATTTCGGGATTTACTGAGCGATAAGGGTAAATGGGAATGGACGGAAGGTCATACGCAGGCCTTTCGTGCGATGAAAGACAATTTCATAAGAGCAGTGACTTTGAGTCATTATCAAGCGGGAAAGGTGTTTAACTTGCAAACCGATGCAAGTGACGTAGGTTTGAGCGGAATTTTGTACCAAGTCGATGATGAGGGCGAAATTCGAATCATAGCGCTGACGAGTAGGGTTCTAACCTCGTGCGAATCGAGATATACCACATCCGAGAAAGAATTACTGGCGATAATATATTCGGTAATGAAATTTCGAAAATATTTATTGGGGTGGAAGTTCAATATAATAACGGACCATCAAGCGTTGACCTTTTTGCTATCGACACCTTATCGAAATGCCAGACTTATGCGATGGATTTTATACCTGCAGGAATACGATTTTGATATATCACACTGTAAGGGTGTTGATAATATCGTCGCAGACTTTTTCAGTCGGAATTTCGGCCAGGAAATGATTGTAGAAAACAATAACAATTATTTGTTATGTAAAATTATTAATCAGAGCCTTGGCGAAATGACGATGAAAAGTGCGAATATAAATGCGTTAAACGCGGATATTAAATTCAATAAAGAACTTATATCTGAGTTACGTAATTTGGGGATATTTCAGCAGGCCGATAAGGAAATTAAATTGTTGATGCAAAGGGTGTCAAATAAAATTGAAATTAAGGAAGAATCCGGAATTTTATATATTCGAAATAAACACGATAATAAATGGAGATTGATTGTTCCGATTTGTTTAAAGGAAGTAATTCTAAAAGCGGTCCATGAACAATTTGGCCATGCCGGCGCGTATAAAATGTGGAAATATATTGAACAAAAATTCTTCTGGAAATATTTGCGGAGAGACGTGAAAATCTACTCGAGAAGTTGTGACTTATGTCAAAGAACAAAATGTAGTAATCAAAAAGCGGAAGGCGCGTATCAAAATGTAATTTCGAATCAACCTAACGAATTAGTAGCTGTCGATTTTTATGGTCCGCTGCCGACGTCAGTAGCAGGAGTAAAATATATTTTTGTAGTCCTCGACGTGTTTTCGAAGCTCGTAACCTTGTACCCGATAAAAAGAGCGAATACGGCCGTTTGTTTAAAAAAATTAAAAGATAACTATTTTCGAGAAATAGGAAAACCCGCGAGAGTGTTATCAGACCACGGGACCCAATTTACCTCACCCTGGTGGAAATCCGAATTGGAAGGGGAGGGAGTCGAAGCAATATTTTCATCAATCCGGCATCCACAATCGAATCCAGTGGAACGTACGATGCGTGAGCTCGGGAGGTTTTTTAGAACCTATTGTGCCGATAGACACACCGGATGGGCTAAATATGTAGGTCTGATACAAAATTGTTTAAATTTGGTATGTCATCAGAGTACGGAATTGGTACCATACGAATTGCACTATGGGCGAGTTCCTAAAGATCGATTAACGGAA